GCTGGCGGCCATGGCCTCGTACTGGGTGCGGATGTCGCGCAGGGCGGCCGTCAGGTCTGGCTTGCTGGCGTCCACCTCGACGTGCACGCGGTGCCGGGCCAGCTGCTCCTGCAGCTCCCGCAGCTCCTGTGGGGCACCGGGGGTCAGCACAGAGCCCCCTCCCCCTCCCCAGTTGCCCCACGGCGTGGTGGTGTCCGTGGTGTCAGTGGCGTTACCTCCTCATGCACCTTCCTGAGGAAGGCCAGCTCGTCCTGCAGGGACCCCACGCGGCGCTCCAGGTCGAGGCGAGCCAGGGCGGCGGCATCGACATCCTGCCACCAGAAGGAACAGGACAGGAAGGAACGTCCCCAGGGTGGGCTCGGGGCGCTGCACCCCACACCCCTCAGCCCCGCTTGTCCCCATCCCAGCCCTGCCCGCTCCTACCAGGAGCCCCGGTGCTGGGGGGGGGCTGAAACCGGCCCTGCTCATGCCCTGGGGCTGGCAGCACGCAGCCAGGATCCAGCCCTCGCCCTCACCTGCCTGTACGCAGCCAGGGTGCTCTCGGCCTCCAGCCGCAGGGTCACCTCCTCCTGCAACCTGCAGCGTCACAGAGAGGCACCGTTACTCGTTGGGCACCGTTCCTCATTAGACACCTTTCCTCATTACTCGCAGTGGCTGCTTGCAGCTCAGTCCCGTGCATGCACCCCCCCTTTTGGGTCCATGCAGCTCCGTGGTGCTGCCTGAGCCCACCCTGTCCCCATGTCCCCCACACCACACACGTGTCCCTCACGCTCCCCCCGCACGTGACCATCTTGGCCCTGCACCCCCAGCACGTGCCCTGTGCCCCTCATCCCCACCGCCTGTACCCAGAGCCCTACCAGCCCCCAGCTCGGCCCGTGTCCCATGGAGTCACTGTTCTCAGCCCCGTCACCAGCCTGGGGACAGCCTGATCCCCTCCTGAGGTCACCCCGGTTTCTTCTGGGGTCACCCTGGTCCTTGTCACTGCCTGGTCCCCAAGGGTGCCCCTGGTCCTGGTGGCCACCCTGATTCCTGGGGACACCCTGGTCCTTGTCACCATCACGGTTCCAGTCACCACCCTGGTCCCCAGGACAACTCTGATCACCATCCCCGTAGCCACCCTGGTCCTGGTGGCCACCCTGATACCAGCCCCAGCGGGTACCTCGATCCCTGGGGACAACCTGGTCTTGGTGGCCCCCCGGTCCCAGTCACCACCCTGGTCCCCAGGCCAACCCCAAGCGGGGCAGCATCTTACTTCTGCCGAAGATTTCCGAGGTCCTCGGCCAGGTTGTCCCTCTCGATCTCCACGCGGGCCTTGGCGTTGTTCAGCTGCTCCACGTGGCGCCGCAGCTCGCGCAGCTCCTCCTGGTAGACGTCGGCCAGGCGCGAGGGCTCCTGGTCCCGCGCCTGGTTCAGCTCCAGCACCAGCATCTTGTTCTGCTGCTCCAGGAGCCGAACCTTCTCGATGTAGCTGGCGAAGCGGTCGTTGAGCTCCATCATCTCCACCTTCTCGTTGGTGCGCGTCTCCCTGAACTCCGAGTTGAGCGCCTCGGCCAGCGAGAAGTCCATCCTGCCCGGCCCGGGGCGGGGGGCCCAGCGGAGGCCCGGCTGCGCGCTGAGGATGCGGGGCCGGCCCGGGGGGCTGCCGGGGAGCCCCCGGCGCACGGAGGTGGCCGAGCCGAAGCGGCGGCCGTAGGAGGACAGCCGCTGGCTCTCCATGCTGAGGGCTGGGCACGATGTGTCCCGGCCCCGGGCGTTTTATGGCAGCGTGGGGGCTCCCACCCCTGCCAGCCGCCCCCGGCTCTGGCCTGTGGGCCAAGGAGCCACAGGGCGAGCACAAAAGCCAGCCTTTGTGGCGCCCGGCAGGGACGGATGAGCCCTGGCAGACAGCCCGGGCGTCACGGCAAGGCCTCCGGCGCCCTGCCCGGACCCCCCCGCCCCAGGGTTTACTCCACTGCCAGCACCCGGGGCAGGAGGCAGAGCAGGACCATGGCCATGGGCACCCTGGGGCACTGCTGGTGCTTGGTGCAGTGCCAGGGGCACCGTGGGTGCTGGCTGGGTGCTGTTTCAGAGGGTGCTCACTGCAAGGGCACGGGGTGTCCCTGCGCCCTGGGTCCTGTCCCCACAGCCACTGGCCCCAGCTGTGTCTCCAGGTGCTCAATGGGCTGAGGTGTGTGGTGCACACACACCTGCACACGTCCTTGTACACACACACGTGTCCATGCACACCCACACGCACAAAGATGCCCCCACATGTGCACCCCTGTGAACGCCTTTTCAGGACACGGATGTGCTCACAGACATGAAAAGGCACCCGCATGCACACACAATCCCTCTCACTTGTGCCCCTACAGATATGCACACGCGATATCCACGGCCAGGCACACATGCACAGGGCTGCACTTGCACGTCCTCCCCATACGTACACACCCCACGTGCAATGCAGCTACACACGTGCATGAGATGAGCGTGCAACAGCGTGCACAGACACACACCTGCTGCTTCCCTGAACACGCGTGCACGTTGCACACCCTTAGCAGTGCCACACACACATTGCTCCTCCCAAGCACATGTACGTGGTGTGCAGTGCAGTGCAGACACACACGTGCATGGCCACCCCATATGAGCACATACATGTGTGCACAAGCACGTGCACACCCACCCTGGCCGTGCACACGCACACACACGGCACACCCTCACACACACACACACCCCCACTGCTCACACTGCCCGTGCTGACCCCCAGGACAAGCCCTGGCTGAGCACCCAGGCGCCACAGCCCCGTTCCCCACGGCTGAGGCACCCCGTGGGACGCCTGGCAGCGCAGGTAGGCTGCTAATTAAAGCTGCTTTTAATTAGCCATCTGAAGCCTCCCAAGTCCGTTCCAGCCCAGTGGGGCTGTGAGGGCGCTGGGCAGCGCCTGCCCCTCGCCGGGGCCTGGCTGGGGCTCGGGGCACCGCGTCCTGCTCCCAGCCCCGGGCCTGATCCTGCACACGCGTGTGCGCGGCCCTGTCCCCACCACCACCCCCTGCACCGGCCTCGCCGGGGTGCTCACACGTGCGCCAAGGCCAAGGGGGGGCTTTCTCCCCGCACCGGTCCCCGCGGCCGGGTGCCAGGGCTGCATGAAAGGGGCTCTGTGAGCCGGCGGGCGCGGGCCCGGCATGGCAATGAGGGGGCTTTGTGAGAGCCCGGCCCTGCCGGGAAACGCGGGGCTCGAGGCCGCGGTGACGGGCACGGGGCCACTGCTGACCTCGGCCCTTGTGGGGTGCTGCGGTGTGGCCATAAAGTGGGGTTACGGGGCTTGGGGACATCCTGGAGACAAGCCGGCGTTGGAGGGGACTGCAGTGCAAGGGGTGGGCTGGAGGGTGATTTGGGGACCTGGGGACGTAAGGGACACGTGGTGGCAGCGAGGGTGGCCGGACGCAGCGGGGCCCTGGGGTGCTGGCTGGGGACACTGCAGGGGTGGGGACAGGCCTGGGTGGCTGGCAGCTAGGTGGCAGCCGATGGCCAGGAAAGCTCCCGGCCCACTGGGTGGGGACGGTTCCAGGTCCCGCTGGGCCACGTCCCAAAGGGACTGGGAGATGCACTGGACACTGGTGGCACTGGTGGCACGCTCAGGGGACAGCCTCCTGTCACCACCGCCCAAAACACCCCACGGCTCCCTGCTCCCAGCCTGATGCTGGTCCCACACTGAGGATCCTCGGTCCGGTGCTGCCGGTATCAGGATGGGTTTCATACCCACGGAACCGGTGTGGGGCACGTCCGCACCCCATAGGTGCCGGGAGCTGCCTGCTGTCCCCAGCCAGCCGGAACAGGGACCCCCCTGAGGACATGCATCGGGGGGGCTCTGCGTCCCTGCAGCCTTTCCCAAACCCACTGGGAGAGCGCAGGGTGCCCGGCCGGCCCCCACTCGGTTCCCCGGAGATTTATTTTCTCCCAGCTCCTACGCAGCCGGGATCAAAGCGCTGCTGCCTCTTGCGGAAAGCTGTCACTCCCAGCGCTGCGGGGATGCAGATCTGGGCTCTCCCCCCGCCTCCCCGTTCCCCTCTTAATGAGAAGAACGAACTCAGAGCGGGCTGGAAGTTTTAATTAGAAGCTTCCAGCCTCCGAGAAGACAAAGGCGAGAGCTGCGGCTGCCAGCCAGCGAGCAAAGTAGGGCAGGAGGAGCCGGTGACCCCGGTCCCCACGGGGAGCAGCCTGCGCGGGACGGTGCTGCTGGAACAGGGCGAGGGCTGCAGGTTAAACGCAGCCGCCTGGCCCAGAGCCCACGCGGCTTCTGTGACCTCTGTCAGGGCCCTCACCACTGCCGGTGGCCCCGAGGAGCTGGAGCAGGCACCGGGGTGCGTCACAGGGCCCAGCAGTGTCATGGTGGGGAAGTAGGACAGGGCACAGGGGGACAGCTGCAGGAGCGATGCTCTGAGCTCTGCCCCAGAGCTGGGGTCGCGGAGGCAGGAGGAGCAAAGGACCCAGCAGGAGCCAGGGCTGGAGTTTCAGCAGGGGGAAGATGAGGCAGAAATGCCCTTGAAAGCACTCAGCAGTGACAAGAAGGGGGCAAGCAGCTGCCCCCCGCCCATCCCCACACCAGGGCCCAGAGCAGGGGCCTGCACCCCCCCCAGCACCTCCCCTGCAGGGATGGGAGATGGGGCTGAAGCCTTGGGGCCAAAGGGGGAAGCCAGGGGGAGCCTGCCCCTGGGGGCCAGAGCCTTTTCCAGGCCCACTTCGGAAGGAGCCAAAACCCAACCCCTGCTCCCTGCGCAAGGCGGAGGCGAGAAGAAGCAGCCACACGTCTCCCCGCGCCCCTCTGGTTTTAAGCTTAAAGATTTATTAAAAGCGTGTTATTTCTTAGCATCACCCATCTGTTAGCACTCGACACCCTGGTGCGGAGTAGAGAGGGGCTGAGAGGGAACAGCAATAATCCATCTGCTACAAAAATACGCGGCGCTGCGCCCGGGGAGAGCAGGCGCGAGGCAGGAGGCAGCTGGGACCCCCCAGCGGGGGGAGCTGGAGGGTGGCAGGGGACGGGGTGACAAATGCAGGTGGCAGGGGAGGTGGCCCTACTGCAAGGAGGGAGATGATGGGGCCCAGAGGAAGAAGTTTGGCAGCTGGGTTTGGGACCCCAGGAGAGGACTGGGCCATACTGGGTGCCATCAGCACAGGAGTTTTGGGGCTGGCAGTGTGGGTGCAGTGGAGGCGCTGCCGCGCGCTGTCAGCTCCTGGGTGCTGTGCTTGCTCTTCCAGCCGAGACCACGCCGAGGATGCTCTGAGGAGAGAAACAGGAGAGGAGGCGATGAGGCAGCTCTGGGGCAAAACCTGAAAGCCAGGCCCCCTCCTGAAGGAGATCCCAGCACTGCCAGCTCTGTCCCCCTTTACAACCTACTGCAAGCACCTGCTGCCCTTCTCCAAGGGAATATAAATTATATTATTGCCCCCAGCACGCTGAACTTCACAAGAGGGGTGCCTGGCTGGGTAGGGGGCTCACCTGGGATGCTCGGGGGCTGCGCCGACCTCTGGCTGCTGCTGGAGAGCTGGCCAATTCTGCTCTGGAGCCCGCCCAGCGAGCACGAAGTGGTGCTGTGAAAGAAAAAGGGGACACAAAGGGAGGGCTGTCTTAAATGCCAGGCTCAGGGCAGACCTGGTTGGCCCCCGTCCTCCCCAGCTGGCCACAGGCAAGGAGGGGGCTCCAAGCCCCCGAGGGGAGCAGCCCCCAGCCCTCGCAGAGCGCTCCTGGCCCCCATCTCTGTTGTCTCACCTCACCGCTCGCCTCCGCTTCCGCGCAGATGCTTTGGAGACAGAGGAGGGCTTGGGGATGGAGGAGCCCCTCACGGCGAACACCGGGACGGAGGCCCTGCAGGCAGGGAGGAGAGGGTCAGCACTGGGGGGGTGGGGCTGACCTGACCCCCTTGCTGGGAGCAGAAGCCACACACAAGCAGGACAGGAGCCCAGTTTGCAGCCCCCGGGGAAATGGTTCAAACATGGTTAAAGCCTCAAGAGATGGGCACAGGAGGAGGCAGCTGCCCCACCACCACTGCTCCCCGAGATACTCATGGTCACACCATCTCCTGCGCCCAAGTTTCCCCAGCTGCCCTCTGCAGGAAAAGTTCCCTCAGGTCTCCCACCTTACCTCGGGCATCACGACCTCTTCCCAGCCAGCCACCCAGTTCAGCAGAAGCACTGGCAATAAAGGCAATGCTGCACAGCCCCGCTCCTCACCCCAACCTCTCCTTAGGTAGAGGCACTGCCCCACCTGCTTCCCAGGAAGTACTTGGGGCTCAAGAAGCCACCTGGAGGATACTTCTCCCAGTCCAAAGGGAAAAAGGAAAAGGAGGAATAGATTCTTTGGAATGCTTCTTCTGTCTGAGCAAGCCATTCATGCACAGGCTCAGCCCACTGCTTGCAGCCTGTTTTCTGCTCTATCTCCCCTCCTAGCCCAGCTGCAGGGATCCACAAAGGCTCTGCGGGTGCAATTCACTTAAAAAGCAAGATCAGGGAGGGGGAAATCCCCAGCCATGCAGGCAGCCCATCCACGAGCCTGGGCGCAGCAGCACTAACCTGGGCACGAAGGGGCCACCCTGCTTGTTTAAGAGGCACTGGGTGTTCTCCCAGCCAGGGAATTCGGGCAGGTTGAAGGTGTCTGGCTTGGCCACTGCCAGGTGAAACGATGTCCTCGGAGAGGTCAAAAGTCACGTTCAGGTCACGGGCAGCCAGGACAGTCGGGGTGCAGCAGTTCTGGGCAGCCTGATGTCATCAGGGGCACGCGTCTTTTGGTGACTGTCAGCGGGCAGATTTTGGGGGTGCAACTCCGCAGCAGCTGGGAGGATTTGGCCTCTTTGTAGCAGGGTGTGCGCGGGCTCTGCATCGCCTCGGGAGCCTCCGCTTCTCTCCTGGAGCCCTTCCGTAGGCCACATGGGGAGGATTTCCTCTGGCGCTTCGCCTGCGTTTTGAGGCTGTGGGGAGTTTCCAGCCTGGAAGCATTGCTCATCTCAGACCTCCTCCTCTTCCTCGCCAGGCCAGGAGCTGCCAGCGTGGGACTGGAGAGCGGAGCAAGCTGCTGCAAGCGCCGCAGAGCTGCCCTGGTCATGGGGACGCCGGGCTCAGCAGCAGGCGTGGTGGCTGCTGCCACGGCTAAAGGAGAGAAGTGAGAGTCAGCCCTGCCCGCAGCAGGTCCCAGGCACCCCCAGCACCTCCTTCTGCCCCCGGCACAGCTCCGAGGTGCCTGCCCAGCCCTAGCTGTGAGCCCAACAGCAGCAGTTTGCCAGCAGGTTTTGCCATCAAACCATGCTCACACAAAACCCAGAGGGAGAGGCTGTGTAAAGCCCGCTGTCTCGTCAAACTACAGGCACCGGACTGGTTCCAAAGCAAATGCCCCGTGGCAGTGCTCTGTCTGTCCCTAAGAAACGGGGTCTGCAGAGTGCACAGCTTCACTGCTGGGTTCCTGCCGTGGCACTGAGGGTGTGGAGGAAGAGCTCAGCGCTGCTCAGACACAGGCTGTCAGCTGGGAGACTGCAGCTGGGCTGACTTGGGCAAACGTACCAAGGAGTAAACAAGACTAGAAAAGATGAGAATCCGAGCTGCTGCTTTAGTCTCGTGGACAGAAATATCGCTCACGTTTAAGCTGACTCGTGCACACATGCTGAACTCCCCCGGGACAAGTGCTGCTCACTGCTCCTACCGTGCCCCGGGCTGCCAGAGATGCTGGCTGGCCTGAAACGCTCGGCAGCAGGGCTGGGAGCTGCTCTCGGAGTTCCCCGCCAGGCACCGTGTCAGGAGGAAACTCAGCTCTCGGCCTGTGCCCACGGCTGGGAGCTGCACCCTCCCACAAGCATCTCCTCCAATGCACCCCTCCAGCACATGCTGTGCCCCGAGGAACAGGAGCGGGGACAGCACCAACTGTCCCAAATCCTTACTGTCACAGCCCTGCTGTGTCCCCTGGGCATCTGTGGGTCTGTTCGGCAGCAGGGCTTGCTCCAGGCTTGCACCAGCCTCCTGGTGCACCAGGCGCTCCAGTTCCTCGAATTCAGAGATCATGTCAGGAGTTAGGAGGTTGGCAGCCTTCAGGAGGGAATACTGCTTTCGGGCAACACTCAGGATAGCAGCCACGAGCCTGGCACAGAGAGGGACACGGTGTCAGGTGAATGGACCTGGCCCAAGGCAACCCCTCTGCATCCAGACCCATGAACCAATTCACAGCTGAGCTTGTGTCAGCATCACCCAGACCAGAGGCTCAGCACCACCAGCATCACCTCAGGGACCTGCTCGAGGAGGGGCAGAACCCGTTAGTACAGGTTTGGGCAAAGATGGGCAAACTTTGAGGCTGTGAGGTACCGAAGCTGTAAATCTAGCGGAGGACCTGAGCCGCAAGGTGTGCGTTCACCTGGTGGTTACAAGGAACACAACGGCACCCGTGCCCTTTCTGCCAGGCTTCAGGCACTCGTTAGCTCAGATAGAGGCAGACAGAGATCCAGGCACACGCTGAGGCCAGCCTCCCTCAGGAGACCTTTCTAGAGAGGTTCGTTCTGCCAAGATGCTTGGGGCAGAGACATCAGCAGATGGTGCCGCGGGAGCCCTGCCAGGGCAGGACCTTGGGGAGCCAAGGCAGGAAAAAAAAGACTTTGCAGAGGTAATTTCAGGACTGACAATTTGCACTTAAGGCTCCTGCAGCTGCTGTGCCTGGAAACCTCCCTCTGTCCATGGAAATGGCATTTCCAGGAGATCATCCCACGGGATTAGATCCCTGGGAGCTAAATCTGTTCCTTCACACACGGCAGTCTCTGCAAGCAGAGACCTGCTCCTGCAGCCGTGTGGGCTGTCCCTGGGGGGGCTGCATGCTGCAGGAGGGTGGACAACACATCCTGTGTGGGAAATAGCACCCACAGGCAGGAAGGGGCACGTGGGGGCAGCACTCACGTTTCTGTCTGGCTGCTGGACAAACTCTGTGGAAGGCAGCTTGGTTTCCTCATTCCCGGCTGGAGATCTGTCCCATCAGTTGCTCTGGGACTCCTGGGAGGAGTTTCCTTGGGAGCCTGGAGCAATCATCCAGAAATGAGAACTTCTCTAGCCCAAGATTAGTTCATATCTCAACTGAGTCTGACCCCCACAAACTGTTATCTGGGAAGTTAAGGGGTTTTGCTAGCAACTTGCAGCTCACGCTGAGCCAGGACCCCACAGACCAGCTGAGCTCCTGCCTTCTCCAAGCACGCCAGCTGTGTCCCAAGTGTGTCTGAGCCCCCAGCTTGTTGTGCCAAGCCCTCACGTGCTGCACTCCCCTTCTCTCACCTCCTCCTCCTGTTCCAGTTGTGGCTGAGCAGCCTGTCCAGCTCCCAGCTCCTGCTGCCCTCCATCGCTCATCCCGTGAACACCCAGGGCTGAGCACATCTTTGGGACAGCTTCCTCCGACCTACAGCAGTCAGAGAGAAAGTCACAGAGAGAAAGACAGAAGATCCATTGAGAAAGCCATCACATTTGACTAAGAAGTTTGGGCATGGATCAACCAGGACAAGACACGGCCTTTGCAGCCCAGCTTCCCTTGGAGCTTGCACGCTGTGGTCTCTCAGGCCCGTAACTACACCTCAGCGCGGTCAGGATGATGACACACGCTGGTGGAAGAAGCTCCTGGGCTGACACCTGGGCTGCGACCAGCTCTGGAGCTGTGCAGCCCTACTTGGCACAGGGGATGCCAGGACCCAGCAGCTCTGCCCCAACTCCTTGCCAGCCCCACAACCTCACCTGGGCAACCCCGCTGGGCTCGAGCTAGGGGCAGCCAGTGGTGCTGGTGGCTGCTTCTCTGCGTCCCGGGCGGTGTCCTCATAGGCACGGAGCTTCGCCCGCAGATCTGCCACCTGCAGGGAGGGATCAGCTGCTGCACAGCTGGCTCTGTGAGCACAGGGAGCTCAGAGCTCCCCGAGAAGCTGACGCCACTTTCCCAGTGGGCAGCACTGCCACACAGCTCAGAGAGGACCACGGAGCTCAGAGGCGCATGTCCCAAGCAAACCACGGCTAAGGACAGTGCCCTCCCTCCTTGCCAGCACCTCACCTCTGCTTTCAGCTGCTCGCAGATCACAGCGTATTTACTGATGTGGCAGTCGAGGCTGAGGACGTTGCTCTTCAGCTGCAGACAGGGACGAGTAAGAGGTTAAAGCAGCACTGGGCAGCACACACCCCTCAACCAGAGCTGGAGCAAAGCCTGCTCCCGAGTGGCTGCAGTGGGCACCACCAGTGCTCAGGGACCTGCTGTGCCAGCCACGAGCCCTGGGCTCTAGGCTGAGGGGCTTTATCACAGGTCCAGGCACTCAGCATCCTCAGCCTCATCCTGCCCGGAGCAGCCCCCGTGGCTGGATAACTGATGCTGGAGCACGGAGACACCTCCTAACCTCCCCCAGGTACCAGGGCACGCTGCAAAACCCAGCTCCTTCCCACCCCTCCCCATGCAGCTCCCCAAACCACAGCAGGTCACGAGGTCCTCACCGACAGCTTGATCTCCTTGGCCCGGTTGGCGTACTTGAGCGTGTTGTAGGTGTCCTCGTAGGCCAGCGCGGAGGGGCTGACGGCAGCAATCATGATGGTGCGGCAGTTCCCTCCGATGGAGTCCTTCAGCAAACGCGTCAGCTTGCTGTCCCGGTACGGGATGTGGGTCTTCTTGCTCTGCACCGAGAATCAAGGGGCTGCTCAGTTTTTGGGACCTGCGTGCTCAGCCCCAAGTCCTGCACCACAAGGGCATGGCCACGCTCGTCCCACTGCACCTTTCACAGCCCAGCCCAGGCTGCCAGCCCCACCACAGCAGCAGAACCATCAGCCCCGGCACTCGAGGACCCCCCTCGCATCCACCTGCCCTACAGAGCCATAGCGCAGTGGGGCCCTGCAGGGAACAGCCTTACCTTTGCGTCTGCCAGCGCGTTGATGACGTTGATGAGGGCCAGCAGCGAGCGGTTGATATTGGCGCCTTCCCGGAGCCGTTCGCCCCGGGTGTTGGTGACCGAAGCTCGCTCCGAGCCTGCCAGGTCGATCAGGCTCATCTTGGCTACTTGCAGGTCCTGAGCGAGGCCGACAACACGGTCCTGCTGCTTCACGTAGATCTGTGAAGAAAGAGAAACGCGAGGCTGCAGCTCAACAGGGCAGGTGAAGCTACCAGCTGGAGGCAGCTTCACCTGCAGGACAAGGTGTCAGCGTGTATAAAAGGATGGTGAAATGGATTACAAAGGCCAGGAGATGGGGTGGGGTTCAAAAAGGATCCCAGCACACTGAGAAGACAAGCCAAGATTCTCTGATGGCCTGGGTAGCAAAGCCACAGGAGGGATCAAACAGGGACTGACAGAGCTATGGGAAGTGATCGGCATTTCCGTGTGTGTGAGCAGCGCACAGCTGGTCGGGTCCCCAAAGGACACAGCCAACGGGGAGCCCTGGTGCCACCCAGGAAATGCTCGCAGCATCTCAGCCTCAGCCCCAAATCTGGCCGTGGATTTTGCCTCTGAAGGTTGCTGGGAGATGATCACCACGGTACATGCTGGGAAGCCCAAAGCTGACAGGGGCTGCAAGCCCCCAGGCACAGCCTCGCAGCCCCTGGGAGCGTTCAGGCAGGGTTCTCAGTGCTGAGCCCAGGTCCTGGCTTATGTGGGCAAGGCAGAACCCTGAGACTGCAGCGCTGCTCCACAGCTTCCCCTTCTGCAGGCCTAGAGATCCCCCAGGAGCAGCAGACACCTCTCCCACCGCCCCGTAACATCCTCAGCTGCCTGCCACGGGCCAAGAGACGTCCACGCTGGAGGTGCCACTGATGGCAGCCAGTCGTGCGTCCTCACGCAGAGCCCAGCTCCTCCACGGCCCCTGCTCCAGCTGCCGGGAGGCAGAGCTGGCAGCGGGAGGGCAGCCTTCCAGGGCCACTAATGGATTCGCAGCAGGCAGGAGTCCAGCGCCCACCGCCGTGCCCAGCTGGGGAGCCGGCTGGGAAGCCATCCAGACACCTGGACTTCCCCTGCAAGCAGCCACGGGCAAGGCACCAGGTTCACACTGAAATTACAGTCAGAGTCCTCAGTCTCCCCACGCAGCCGTGACGGCCCTGCTAATTCAGGGGAGGGCCTGGCTGGAATTGAAATCAAGCGGCAGGTTTGTGCGGGAGAGCACCGAGGAACCAGGAGCAAAACTTACAGAGCAGGGAACAGAACTCCTGGCTCAGAGCCGAGGGGGATGACGGGGCAGACAACGCGCCTGCCCCCGTACCTGCAGGGAGGCACAGCCCCGAGGCAGGTCCCCCTTGCTCTAGGTCAGGTTTGGGTACATCTCCCTGCAGCTCGCACACTCAGCCTGCTATAATCCAAAGCATCGAGTGGGTTTTCAGCCCCTGGGGGGTGTAACACCAAGCTGGGACTGCTGGCTGGGGGGTGCAGCCACCAGCACGACCAGTACACTCTGTCCCAGTGAGGAGCAGGCTAAGAGGCCTGCCCAGCCCCGTGTCCCCTCTTCTCAGAGCCACAGCCGTGCTGATTTTCCCTGCAATTCACCAGGAGCAGCGATAGCGACCCTGCTATGCCAGGCTCGGTGTGGGCTTGCTTCTTATCTCCTGCTCAGCACAAAGCCTGCTCAGCCAGCAGCCCTCACCTGGAACACGGCGTGCGAGCGGGAGGAGGTGGCGTTGGCGTCTGTGGGGTGCTGCGTCCGGTTTTTGTTGCCGTTGGCCAACATCTCCAGGAGCTGCTCTGCCGATTTGGGCTGGAGGAGAACACAGAGAGGCAGGGATCAGCAGGCTGGGCGCCCCCTCCGCAGGCACCGAGACAACCTGACATCGAGCAATGGCAACGGCTCAGATGAAAGGCAACCCACTGCTCTGCGGGGTTCGCTTCAGCTCGGGGTCATGTTTGCTGCTTGGAGCTGCACAGAAAGCACAGCCCCTGCCTTCCCTATGTTTGTTTCCAGAATTGGTTTAGCCACAGCACCGCTCAGAAGCCGTGCCCATCTTTTACACCCACCTGATGGAAGGAGAGGCCCTGGACCACGACTCCTTTCTCTGGGTCCTCCCGGATCGCCAAGGGGCCCTTGGGCTCCAGCAGGTCGTGAATCTGCTCGTTGTACACCTAGAGGGGGGAGCCCGCAGTGAGGCTGAGCTCTGCTCCCCCAGCAGCGAGCAGAGAGAAGCTCCGAGCATCGGGATCACGCCTGACCCGATCAGACGCCCCCCTCCCTCCCCCCAGCACCCTGCAGGCCACTTCCCAGGCGTGACACGGAGCAGCCGAGGGTGCTCTAAATGCAGAGGACGGCTCTCGAGGGCTTTGCTTGCAAGTCACCGTGCCAGCGCTCCCCTGCAGCCCTCCGAGCCGGGAGGAGCAGATTGCTATGCAGACCGCAGGCACCGCGGCGTGTCGGCGAGCAAGAGAAACTTCCCGGGCTCCAGATGGGGGAGAGGCAGGGAGGAACCAGCAGCACCAGTTCACCCAGCTGCTCAGGTGAGCCTGGTTCCAGCAGCTCTCTGGGCCCCGGGGGCACCTGGGGGTCTGCGCCAGCCCTGCCTGGTAGCAGGGGAGCCTCGGAGGCAGGAGGGGACGCGGCGTGGGCACGGCGTTACCTCCTGGTAGGAGACGAGCACCTCGCAGCTCTTCTCGTCCTTTCTGGCTTCGATCCTCTTGTACAGCTCCACCATGGTGAGGTACATGATGCCGGGGCTCTGCTCCGAGCCCAGCATGGTGTAGGTTTTCCCCGCTCCCGTCGCCCCGTAAGCAAACACTGGGAAGGGAAAGGGCGGACGTTGGAAGCTGTCATTCCAGGAGCTCCGCAACGTTCCTGCAGCAGCCCCTGCAGCAGGGCTGGGGTCACTCCCTGCCTTCGGAGAGACCAGGCAGAGCGGTTCAATAGTTAATTATCCTCAGCACTGCCTGCACCATCCTCTAGTGCAATTTCTTCCTAGTTTCAGCTGTCAGCATCTCTAATTTAGCAGATAAAGACAGAACGAGTCCCCAAACCGTCACCCATTTAGACACTTTGAGGCCATACTCGAGTCACCCTTTAACCCTCCCTTTAACAAGCTGAGCAGCCCCAGCTCCCTGCCTCTCGCTGGAAGGTGTTTCTTTTTTCCAGACCTTGCAATTCATCTCATTTTTAACCCTGGTCTTTCAACACCATTTCTGAAGCATTAACATCAGAGCAGGCCACGCTCATCTGGAGAGCCTCAGCCCTTCTCCCCCATTAGCGACACTTTGTGAGAGCCTCATTTGAGGATCCGGGCTTTGTTTTATGCAGATAGAGACGCGAGACATGCCTGCCAGGTGGGCACGGTGACAGAGGCAGCCTTCAGCAGCGCGCCGGGGAGCCAGGAATAGCATCCTCCGGTCCCGCTGCCCAGCCCGGCGCATGATGAGACAGGAGAGCGGCCGCCTCCCGCTCAGCAGCACTGACATGCTCGTTACGCCGCTGCTCTGACAGCCCGAGAACCGCACGAGGATCCGCAGCGCTGGGCGAGGAGCTCGCAGACCCGGTCGTTGTGTGCTGCCAGCCTGGGAGACGTGCAGGGGGCACAGCAGCCCCCCCCCAGAGCCCCGACATGCAGGCGCCTCACCTGGGCTCCTGCTCTGACGCTCAGCGGGTGCCCCCCGAGCACCGCTGGGGGGTGAGGGCTGTGCCCATCGCAGCCTTTTGGGATGGGAAAGGAAGGCAAAACCAAAGCAGCCTTTGCACTGTGAGCCCGCTCCACCTCCTGCTGCTGTCCCAGCCCCAGCACAGGTTGTCTGCCCCCAAAATGCCACAAACACCTGGAAAACGCCTGCCCGATCTCACTTGCCTCTAGCAGCAGCCCTTTTCCCTCGGACATATCGCATCCCCTACAGTGCTGAGTGCCATCGGGGCCCTCACAGCTCTGCTGGCTGTGGCCCCAAAAGGGCCCAGAGCCCTGGCTGCTGCCCCCCATAGCAGCACAGCCATCCCTCGGTCACACACAGCTCCTGTCACCCACGCAGCACGTGGCTCGCTGTGCCCACAGCTTGCTCCAGCCACCAGTAGCACCCAAACCCCCCAGCTCCACAAATTATCTCCCACTCCACCTCAAATTCCATTTCTCCTCCTTGACCCGAGGAGCCCAGTCAACACTTCTGTGCCAGGAACACCCCAGCCCACACCTCCAGCCACCCCCAGCTCATCGCCACTGCTTGGGCTATCCCATTAGCCCCAAAAAACCCAGGTGAGAGAAGAGAGCAGCAGCCACCTGCCCCCTTGGGGACGTCCCCGCGTGGTGACCGGCAGCACGAGGGCCGCATCCTGGCCCTGCTGAGCCCACCCAGGTGGCAGCAGACTGGGGCGGAGGCGCTGGCCGGGCCTTACCGGAGCAGTTGTAGCCATTGAGGACGCCGTCCAACACCTCCCGCGTGGTGTGCTGGAACACCTCCTCCTGCGTGGCCCCCTCCCCGAAAACCCGGTCGAAGACGAACTTCAGGTCCTTGCCCCGGTGCTTGGCCCCGCGGCCGGGCAGCGCGGTGCCGGGGGGGCCGCTGGGCTCCTCGGGGTCGAAGACGAGGATGTGCTGGTCGACGACGTGCAGCACGGCGTGCGCAGCCCCCTCCCGCTCGCAGGGGTTTGGGGGCCGCACGCGCACCACCACAGCCACCGGTGCCCTCCTCGGGCGGGGGTCCCAGCGCCATGGGGCCGGGCAGGAACACAGCCCCAGGGGGGGGCCACACGCTGTGGGGGAAAGGGGTCAGCCCCAGGGCAGAGACAGAGCGGGGGGACCCCCACACAGCAGCCCCAGCTCCCACCTCCCCAAATTCCCTCCCCATCAGTGCCACCCCTCCCCTGGTGCCCCCGTTCACACAGCTGGGGCCTAAACCCCCCCCAAGGGCCCTATGGGGTCTGCCCCTCCCGTCCCCCGTCCCCTGTCCCCCATGGCCCTTCCGAACCCCCTTCGGGTGCCCTGTGACCCCCAAACCCCCACCCCCTGCTCTGGGCCCTAATGCTGACCCCTTCAGGCCCTATAGGGCCGGAACACAAGCACATAAATGTAGGTATGGCCCCTTGTGGGGCCCTACAGCCCCTCACCGAGCCCTATGCCAACCCCTCAGTGCCCTACAGCCCCCCCCGAGCCCCGCACTAACCTCTTAGTGCACGATCCCAACCCCCAGGACCCCAGACTCACCCTTTAGGAGTTACAGCGGCGCCTCCAGGCCCTACTGGCTCCTCTCCGCGCCCTATAACGACCCCTCTGGGGCCCTACAGCCCCTCCTTGGGGCCCTGTACCCACCCCTTTGTGCCTTGTGACGGCCCCTTGGTGCCCCACAGCCCTCCTTGGGGCTCCGCACAGCCCCTTTGGGGCCCCGTAGCCCCCGTTAGGAGCCCCCGGCCCCGCTGTGAGCCCCAGCCCACACACGGCCCCCGCCCCTCAGCGCCCCCCTCCCCCGCCGCTTCCGCCCCTCCGCGTTCAAACCACCCGGCAACCCCCGCCCGCCCTCCTGATTGGCCGCTCGCTCCGCCGCCTCCCATTGGCTCCCCCGCACCACGTGCCCCCTTCCCTCCCGCGCGGGGCCTCACGGGAGTTGTAGTCCCGCCCTGCCCCGTCCCGGTGGGCGCGGGGCGCCGCCATGTTGGGGTCTCGAGGGCGCTGCCGGGGCTCGTCCCCTGCTCGCCCCTTCCCCAGGCGACAGCCCCGGGTCGCCGCTCCCCGCCTCCCCTCCCGGCTCGTGGGGGCTGAGAAAGTTGCACTGGGGGTCCCCAGCCCGTCCCCACAGCCACCCCGTGTCCCCAGGGGCCACCAGGCGATGTCCCCATGCCCACTGCCACCTCTTGAGAGGTGTCACCATGTCCCATCCCCGTGTCCCATCCCCGTGTCAACCACACTCCCATGGGACCCCACCACAGGGACAGCGAGCCCCTGAGGGGTCAGACATCCTGGCAGCCCCCCGAGGGGACAGGCGGGACCCTGCCTCTGGGCAGGACCCTCTGGGGACACCTTGGTGGCATCACCGTGTCACCCCCAGCCCGGCTCCCACGGGGACACCGGCACCTGGGGACAGGCTGCGGCCACCCACAGGGGATGTGGGCCCTTCCTGGCGCCCCCATTTCCCTCTGCGGGGCTCTGGGGGACGTGCCCCAGGAAGGCCACGAGGCCACGGGACACCGTCCCCAGGGTTTGGGGACACGGCTGTGCCCGACGCGGGGACAAAGACAGCACACGGGGGAGGTCACAGCTCTGCTTTACCGTGGAGTCGCCCGGGACCGGGCAGCGGTGGCCCCCCCAGCACAGCCCCAGCGCGGGGCGGGGGCACCCATAGGGCTCCTGTACATATCTACAGCCCGGCGCGCCCGCGGCGGGGACCGTGGGGCCAAGCGGGTCACAGCCAGGGGACACAGGGTGGGAAGGGGCAGCGCAGGGCATCCCCCAGCTCCTGCCTGCCCGCCGCCCCTCTGCTCCCCCAGCCCCGAGTTAGCAGCGTTGGGGTGAGCGGGCCGGGGGGGAGCGGGGTTTTGGGGCCCCACAGCCAGCTGGGGTGGACGTCCCGGACCTCAGCGGGGGGACACCGCGGGGCTGGACAGCAGCAAGGGGACGCCGTGGGGCCAGACAGCAGCAGGGGGTGGCCGTGGGGCTGCACAGCAGTTGGGGGGAGGCCGTGGGGCTGGACGGAGGACGGGGATCCCATGGGGCCGAACCATGGCAGAGGGACGCTGTGGGGCTGGGTGGGCATCGGGGGGTGCCGTGGGGAGATGCCGTGGGGCTGGGCGGCCGCGGGGCGATGCCGCGGGCCCAGGCTCAGTCCGAGTAGATGATGAAGCCCGAGAAGGTGCTGTACTTGTTGTTGTTGCCGCCGTGGGCTTTGCCCCCGTCCAGCTTGATGAAGACCTCGTCACCCGCGTCCAGGTGCAGGATGACGCTGTTGCTGGCGTAGTCGTAGTTCTGGTCCGCGTCCTGCGCGATGGCGCTGGCCCGAACCTGCGCAGGGGACACGGCGTTAGCCCGGCCTCGTCCCGTGTCCCTGCCTCACCCGTGGGTCCCCACGGCCCCGTCTTCACCCCACATTCAGCCACCCCGAGGGGCACCCAGCCCCTGATGTCCCTGCCTCGGCACTGGCTGCGGGGAACGCAGAAGAGCAGCTTCTGTGCAGCTCCTGCACGCCCGGGGGACACCCATGGGTGCCCGGGGACACGGTTCCCACTCCCTCCAGGCTGCCTCGGACCCACACCCACGGGTAACGGGGATCCAGTTAGAGGAGACAGCGCCGGCACGGGGACATTGGCAGGGCTCTGCCACCACGGTGGCACCCAGCAGCACCCTGAGCCTCTCCCAGCCCGGCAGGCTCGGATACGGGGCCACAGCCCGGGTGTGGGGCAGGAGGGGCCGCTCACATCAACGGCTGCCCCCGAGCGAGGACCCGGCAGAGCCCGCGCCTGCCCAGCAGCCACAAAACCTCCCGGAGAAGCAGCGCCGCGGCTGGAGCCTGCTGCTGCTACCGAATGATTTGGGTAATCAAATCTAAGCCGGCGCCGGAGCCTTGCAGCGAGATCTCCCAGCGCCGGGTGACAGTGACAAGCCGGCAGGTAAAACCCCGTGTGAAATACAAAGCGATGCGCCGGGGAGAAGTGGCTCCTAATTATAACTGACAAGAACGGGCTCTAAATTGGCTGGCGCTGCTCGGGGAGGCTCCGCTGAGCGGCTGCGGGGCCCCAAACCGGTGGCAGGAGGAGGGAGGCACCCGCGGCACCCACAGCCAAGGGTCGTGGGCACCTCTGGGGACAGAGCAAGGCCACCCCAAAAGCCTTCGGGGGTAAGGGCAGCACAGCCTTTACAGGCATCTCCCCAGCCTGCGGGAGCGAAGAACCCCTCCAGCTGGGAGCTGTTCATTCTGGAACCTACTGATGGCCCAGCGCAGTCCCCGGGGATCGCTCTCACACACAGACAGACCCCTTGTCACGAGCCCCAGCACCGTCACCACAATAAAAATCACCCCATTTCCACCCCACACGTGGCACTGTGCAGCTTGCAGGCACCCCCATCCCGGGGGGGTTCCTCTCAGGTGCAGCACCCCGCTCCCTGGGGGACGCAGCCGGGCTGGAGGCCGGACACACGCTGCGCCCCGTGGGCTGCGGTGAGGAAGAGGAGGGTGGGAAGCAGCAGAGGGAAAGGGGAGGCAGGAAGAGCCACTCGGCTCTGCCACCCCCCCCCCTCCCCAGCCCTGTCCCCGCTGCAGCGGGAGCCGCGCGGTGCCATCCGTCTTCCCTCGTTAAGGAGCCGCCTCGTCACCGCGCGCCCGCCAGCCCTCCTCGCTAACCAGGGAAGATAAATGGCAGCGCCGGGGCCGGGCTGAGCAGCTCCCGGCTCCTCGGCGGGAGGGCAGGCGGAGGTGCCACCACCTCGTCCCCACGGCCTCGTCCCCAGGACCACGGGGGACACAGGGAGCGGGGAGCTCCGGGGGGGCGCAGGCGGCCGAGCGCTGCTCCGTGCCTCGGTTTCCCCGCGGCACTGCCATGGGGAAGAGCGCAGCCCCCAGAGAGGGGTGGGAAGGGAGAAGCAGCTCAAAGTGGGGACATGGCACCCAGCTGGGGGGCCAGGGGGGCTGGCCGCTGTCACCAACCCAGGAAGGACGTCACGGGGTGTTTGGGGACACCCCATGACACATGCCTTGGGGACACCGGTCTCTCCAGCACACGCCTGGGGCCAAACACGCAGCCCTTGGGTGCATCCAGGTTCCCCAGGACGCAGCGGGTGCCCACGTCCCCACAGACCCACGGACACCTCTCCCTCTGTCCCACCTTGGGGACAGTCCCCGTGCTGTCCCCGTGGTGCCCACGGAGTCACCTGCACCCTGCTCTCACCGCCGTCAGCTCCGTCGCAGCCCAGCCGTCACCTGTCACAGCCACACGGCCAGAGACAGCGCTGGGGACAGTGCCTGTGCTGGGACACCCAGCGGCGCTGGCACTGCTGCCAGCCACAAGGGACTTGGGGTCCCCAATCCCACCCCAAAGCTGCTGTGACCCCACGGGACGTGGCACAGCCACAAATCAGGCGCTGCCCTACAAAACGAGGATGGCCCTCACCCTGTGACAGTGCCACCGTGGTGACATCCGCTCCCGCATACATGGGGCACCTCCGGACCCTCCGTGGGGGTGGGACAGGCTGGGACGAGGTGGCAGTGGCACCCCCCGCGCCCCCACCACCACCCAGCTCCAACCCAACCGAGCCGCCCCGTCCGCCCGCCCGTCCCCACCGCTCGCCTTTCTCCCAAACACCAGCTCATCGCCCCGCTCTCCTCCTCGCCGCTCACCGGCACGGCTACAAGCTAATACAAATAAGAATAATTAATGCTAATTAATCATCAGGAGCTGCTCCCTCCCGGCACCGGGGCTCCCCTGGCTCTCATTAACTCGAGCACCGGGGCGGTGGTGCGGGGGCGATGGGCTGCGGGACTTTGCGCTCCCCAGGGCCGGGGCTGACGTGGGAGTAGGGGCAGGGGCTGGGGGGGGCTGGCGTGTGCCCCCCGGGACCGACGGGGCCGGGGCTGCACCAAACCGCAGCATCCTCCAGCGCTCACCGCCCCGCAGCCGATTCCTGCGCAAAAATAACGCGGGGGCTGCCGCTGGGGCTGGGGGCTCGTCCGATGCCGGGAGTGAGATTTATTCATGGGGAAGCCAACCGCGGCCCCCCCGGGGCGTCACC